AAGTTTTTGCACACTTGATTTTGTGACTGTGAAGCTCATGTGTATGCAACCTTGCAACTACTAACTTCTTAAACTCTCCTAGAAAAAAAATCCATCAGATTTCTGGCTGGAAATGCTCGGTTCATAGCATCTAGGGCCCTGCACCCATTACCTCATCCGCCTTGATGTCCCCAGGCTCCCAGTTACCTTCCACACTGCGGTCATGGTAGGAGCCAGGACCTCGGCAAGTGAATCCTGCAACCAGCACTTTTCCCAAAGGTTCTCTATTCCAAGCTCTGCTCTGCTGGAGCAAAGAAGCAGAAGTCCTTGTGAGGAGGCAGCAAAGTTGCAGAGCATTGCCCCTTCCCGGCTCCTGCTCAGCTGCTGAGAAGGGCCCTTTTGAGGGTGCATTCAGTAAGCATTTCTGGGCTGTGGGACAGTTTGAAGGGTCAGGGGCCATATAAAAGCCACTTCCTGGTCTACTGCCTTTCTACCCCCTGCACAAGGGCAGCAAGAGCTGGGAAATGGCCTGCAGATGGGGCAGACCTGTTGCCCAGCCTGGAGTCCACTCCCAGTGCACTACTGAGACCTCTCATTCCTTAGCTTAGTAGCAGTCAATGCCCTTCAAACTAGGGGTAAAGGGCCGGAAGTGTAGCTCAGTGGTAGAGCTCCTACCTAAATGCATGACACCCTGGTTCCATCTGAGGCACTGAAAAAACAAAACACCCTGGGGTGTTGCCACAGACTCGAGATTTAGCAAAGGCAATGAGGAGCCTCAGGCACACCTTTCAGAAAGTCTGCTGTACTTTCTGACCCCTCTGCTGATGAGAATAAGATTTCATGGCCACTTAGGGGTAGAGGGAAAGCTGAGGTTCTCACCAGACCACCAGGTACCAACCAAAGAACTGTCCTCTGGCACAGTCCCTCCTGGAACTCTGAGGGTGTCCCCGGCAAAGGCTGTGACCATCACTCCATTCCTGGGGAAGGCCAGATATGTCAGTGGTACTTTGAGCTCAGAACCTAGATCCTTCCTTCAAAGTCAGTGTGTTAGGAAACCTCAGCAAGAGCTTATTATCTGAAGGAAAGAAAAGAAATGGCTTTTCCCTCACAAAGCACTCAGGCTAAATGTCCCTTCTTTCTAGCACAAGTTTCTGTGTGTGAAAGGCAGGCTCAACAAGGTGCTCAGGGCAGGGGAGACATTCTTTAACTCAGGCAGAGTGGGGAAGGGATGAAGAAGCACTGCTTGCTAGGACTTGGTATTGTTTCTAGCGAAGAGTCATCCACGCTGAAGTTCCACACGTCTGTACCATGGTGGCGTTTAGACTTCTTTCTTAGTATGATAGGGAAGTTTTTCAAGTGTGAGAAACTCTCTGGTTGTCACTGAATTTTTCAAATATGGATTTGGTGCTCTGTCCCCACAGAGATGGTCTGTTCCTGAACTTTGGCCAGAAGAGGGAAGCTCCTCTCTGGTTTCTGAGAACTCTTCTGCCATTCCCAAATATAGGTGTTGAGATTTTCTGGAAGGAATCTCAGTGAGAACCAGGGGCCCCTCAAAATTCTTCCCTGGGGGAAAGTTAGATCTGTAAGGAGCAGTCACATACTCATTCTTTTCTACACCCAAAATGTTTTCCTGACTTCTTCCAGCTTCCTCTATGGAAGCCTCTTCCAGAAAATTCCCAAAATTCACCACCAACTTGTCAATGAGGTCACTAGGTGCGGAGCATGGTTTTAGGGTTTTGTCTTCTGTGTTTACCGAGTCATCAAACTCCTTCAGATGTACTTTACCCTAGGGGGAAAAAAAAAGAGGACACACCAGTGGTCATTTATTTTTGCATTTTTTTGTGTTTGGTGTTTTGTTTCTGTTTTTATTCTTTTATTGTTATTTTTGATATACGGTCTTTCTATGTAGTTCAGGCTGTCCTTGAATCCTGGCACCCAGGAAACTGAGGCAAGAAGAATCACTGGGAGTTCGAGGCCAGCCTGGGCTACATAAGGAGTTCAGGACCAGATTGAACCATGTAGCAAGACCATGTCTCAAAACAAAAACACAACACAAAAAAAAAAAAGAAAAGAAAGAAAGAAGGAAGGAAGGAAGGGAGGGAAGAGGAAGGAAGGAAGGAAGGAGGAAGAGAGGAAAGAAAGAAAAAGAAAGAAAGATAGAAAGAAAGAAAGAAAGAAAGAAAGAAAGAAAGAAAGAAAGAAAGAAAGAAAGAAAGAAAGAAAGAAAGAAAGAGAGAGAGAGAAGCCACAACCATAACGGCAAACCTGCCCAAGACCAGCAGAAATCAAAGGTGATCCCCTGGCAGAGGCTGTCTGTCATCTTTGTATCTCTGGGTCTAACTCAGTACCTGATGTACAGTGGATGACTTTTCAGTGCTTGTGGTAGAGGGCTGACCTACAGATTATTTAGAAAGTATTTCATGGGGGACAGTATCACCCATGAATTCATTTGCTCTCTCATTAGCTGTTACTAAGCAGGACAGTGAAGAGGGTGACACAAAACTGACAAGAGAGAGGAGGAAATAAAGTCCATTGTAACAAAAATGCTCTTTTTTAAAAAAAAGAAAAAAAAGAGACTTCTGAACTGAAATAAAGACTAATTTTTAAAGTTCCCACATTGGAAAAAAACTAGAAACAATCTTTCATTGACAAGGATTTAAAGGTTAACTGGTTTTTGACTGGGCTTATTTATACTTAAGCAAGAAATTATACCTTAGAAATTCTATACCAGTTTTCAACTTAAACATTTATGGAAAGCGGGGATTCTACTTCAAGATCACACACCAGAAGACCCCAGTGCCAATGATATGAGGTTTGACTCCAACTTCCCCGGACAGAAGACAATTTAGCCTTTAGACTGCCCGCCCATCGGCAATGCCTCAGGATCCTAGGCGGTTTCTAAGTTCCTTTGCTCTGGCTGCTTTTTCAGTGGCCTCAGATCTTACAGCCAGGCCTTGGTGCTCGGACGGATGGTCAGGTTAGATAAGCAGGGTTTGTGTCTCTTCCACAGTGTGCTTTATAGAACCAGTCCCATGCTGGGAACACTGGAGTCCTCCTGAGCCTGGTGAATCCCTTTCTTGTTGTCCAAAGCGTGAGGTCCCAGCTCCTTCAAGAAGGCTGCATCCATGTGTCCTCCCTGCCCGTTGTTCCCTGGGACCTTTCAACTTGGGGTTCTTTTTATGCAACCCTGGAGAAAAGCTCAGTCCCCAACTCTTCTTCCCCTCCATCCACCTGGTCTACCTCCCACAACCAGTCAACATAGTGATTTCCTGAATGAAAACAGCCGCGTTTACCTTGAAATCTGCTCCGAGCCATGTGGCTATACTACTTTCAGCAGGGTTGGGGACATCAGGCCAACATAGGTGAGCCAACTTGCTACTGAGAGATAAAAATTTAAGACAGAAGGTGAGTCTGGAAAACATTTTGCATGTACTACATGGCTGAACCAAATCAGTGAGGTCTGCTAAAGGGAATTGTAGGGCTCCCTATAAAATAAGGGCAAGCTCCCAGCTTCCTGACAGACGTAGGGAAGTGAAGTAGTTTAGGGTGAAATTGCAAGTTATCTAAGAGATGTGAGGGGAGGCAAGCCCTCTCCATGCAAAGCTGTTCCTACTTTCTTTCTCCCACCCCTACATTTCCACCCCTGGTCCTGATCCTGGACACTGTTATCAGTATCATTCCTTTGATACTTAGTCTGTGGGAGATGCAGCACTAAGCCTTACAAGCTGCGCATACCTTGGTTCCCAGTCACAGCACCAGCATCACTGAGAGCTTTATAGAAATGCAAATTCGTAGGCTTTGCCCCAGAACACTGAATCAGAAGCCCTTAGGCTAGGGCCTGATTCTGTTGCATCAAAGATTAAGGATGATCACTTAAGTGCATAATGTACAAAAGTGTATGCTGGTGACTTGGTCACAATCTATGGTTGTTCACTGAGGCTGACATCAGCTTGAAAACAAGTGCAGCTGCTTGGCAGAGAAGGTCCACGACTGTCCATTGTAGGGACAGAGCTCCACCAGGGAGGACCTGGAGGGTAGCATGAGGCCCATTGGTACGAGAAACAGAAGATGCTGGAGACAGCATCCGTCCCCGGGCTGGCCAGGACAGGCAGGACAAATGCTCCTCCAGGCAGCGCTCCAACACTATACCACAAGCCAGGAGCAGTTCATGGCTTCATACACCTGCCACTCTACTTCCAGGGGTACACCGCTCCCTATTCAGTCTCGTGCTGCTGTCGGAGGCCCTCAGTATACATGCAGAAAGAAAAGGGCCTCTCCCCAGTTCTAGTCTCCTTGTTCCCCTTCCCATTTGAACATTTGTTTCCTACTTCTCGGTATCTAGTATACATTCTGGTCCGCATTTACTCTTTCAGTTTCTCACACAAGAGAAACAATGTGATATTTAAATGTGTGTGTTTGATTTATTTCACTTAAAAGTATGGTCTCAAGGTGCATCCATTTACCTAGAAATGTCTCAACTTTATCCTTCTTTATGGCAGACTGGTACTCCACTGTATATAATAACCACATCTTCTTTATTCATTCATCCGTTCATGGGCATTTGGGCTGTTTCCAAGACTTAGCTATTACAAATTGTGCTGCCATAACCACACATGTGAATAGTGCTTTTAACTCTTTCCAGAAGATACCAAGAAGAGGAATAATTGTGTCAAATGGAATCTCTAGTTTTAGCTTTCTGAGGAATCTCCATCCAGATTTCCATACTGGTTGTACCAATGTACACTCCCACCAGCAGTAGAGAAAGGTTCCTTTTTCCCCCACAGCCCTCCCAGCATTTGTTATTGGTTAATTTCTTGATGATAACCATTCTTTCTGGAGATGAAATCTCGGTGTTGTTTTAATTTACATTTGTTGAATGACTAGTGAAGTTGAACATTTTTTTTATGTATTTCATGGCTATTTGTATTTCTCCCTCTGAGAAGTGTCTATTTATTTCAGATGCCTATTTCTGACTGGGTCTTTAAATTTAGAGGATCTTATTTTTTTCAGTTGTTTGTATGTTCTAGATGTTAGTCCTTTGTCCAGAGGACCTGCCAAAAATGTTTACTCTTTGGAGTACGGATAGCTAGTTTCCCAGCACCATTTGTTAAGGGTTGTATTTTCTCCAGGGAAAGTTTTTGGCCCCTTTGTTAAACATTAGGTAGCTGAGTGTGCCTGGAGTTGTTTCTGCATCCTCTGTTCTGTTCCAGTGATCAAGAAGTCTGTTGTTGTGCCGGTACCATGCTGTTTTTATAACCTTTGTAGTACAACTTGAAGTCTGCAATTGTGATGCCCCCTGCCTTGCCCTTGCTGCCCAGAATTCCTTTTGATATTCTAGGTCTCCTCCAGTTCCATATGAATGTTAGCATTGATTTCTACAGTTCTCTGGAGAATGCTGTTGGTATTTTGGTTGGCACTGCATTAAATCTGTATAACAGTTTTGAAAATATAGCTATTTTGACTATATTATTTTCTGCCTTTTCAAGAACAGGATACATCTTTCCATTTTCTGATATCCTCTTTGATTTCCTTTTTCAGAGTATTATAGTTTTCATTGTAGAGATCTTTCACTTGATTAGGTTGGTTAGGTTGGTTGTTAAGTATTTCATTTTATTTGATGCTATTGTGAAAGGTATTATTGCTGTAATTTCTCTCTCAGTGAGTTTATTATTGGTCTACAGGAAAGCTATTGATATTTGGGTGTTGATTTTGTAACCTGCTACACTACTGAATTTGGTTATTAATTCTAGGAGTCACTTGGTAGAATTTTTGAGATCTTCTACAATATAGAGGATCATGTCATCTACTACTACTACCACTAGTAGTAATAATAATAATAATAATAAAATTTTTTCCTTTCCTATCTACCTCCCTTTGATTTCTTTTTCAGGTCTAATTGCTTTGGTAGTGTTTTGAGAACTATATTGAATAGTGTGGTTATATTGGGCAGCCTGTCTTGTTCCTGATTGTTGAGTGAAAGCTTTCAGGTTTTCTTCTTTTAATAGGATGTTAGCCATTGGTTTGTCATAAATGGCTTTTATCAGATTGAGATAACATACTTCTAAATCTACTTTCCTCAAGGTTTTTATCATGAATGATGGTGGATTTTGTCAAGTGCTTTATCTGCATTTATTGAGATGACTGTGTGATTTTTGTCCTTGCTTCCTCTCATGTGATATATTACATTTATTGATTTGTGTGTGTTGAATCATTCCTGTATCCCTGGGATGAAGCCTATTCAGTTATGATGTACACTTTTTTAATATTTTGCTGCATTTTGTTTGCTAGTATCTTACTGAGGATTTTTGCATCTATGTTCATTAAAGAGATCGGCCTGTAGTTCTCTTTTTTGGTTGAGTCCTTTTCTGGTTTTACAATCAAGGTAATGCTTGCTTCCAGGAATGACTTGGTAGTACTGCTTCCTTTCTTATTTCATTAAAGAGATTAAGGAGTATTGGTATTAGATCTTTCCTAAAATTGTTAAAGAATTCAGCATAGAATATGTTGGATCTGAGCTTATATTAGTTGGTAGTTTTTTAAGTACTTCAATTTCATTCACCAATACTGCATCACTCAGGATTTTTTAATCTCATTGGTCAAGCTTTGATAGTTCTTATATATCCAGGAATCTACCCATTTCTTTTGAATTTTCCATTTTATTTGAGCACAGGTTCTCAAAGTAGTTACTGATGATCTGGATTTTGGCAGAGTCTATTGTAGTTTTACCTTTTGTCATTTCTAATTACATGGATTTAGGTCTTCTCTTTATTTTGGTATAGCTGACTAAAGGTGTGTCTATTTTATTTTTTTCAAAGAACAAACTGATCCATTGGTTATTTATATTGCTTTTTAGTCTCAATTGGATTAATTTCTGCTCTGAAATTTATAACTTCCTTCCTTATATTAGCTTTGTATTTGGATTGTGCTTGTTTCTCTAGGACCCTGAGGCTCATCTTAAGGTTTTTTATTTAGGGTTGCTGTTTCTGGGGTGTGGGTATTCACAGCTATAAACATCCTTCTTAGGACTGTTTTCACTGTGTCCCATAGGTTTGGGTATATTGTACTGGCATTATTGTTTGACTGTAGGAACTGTTGAATTCTTTCCTTAATTTCTTCTGAGACCCACTGATTATTAAAGAAGTATTGTTCAGTTTCCATGTGTCTGCATAATTTCTGTGGTTTCTTTTGCCACTCATTTCTAGTTTCATTGCACTATGGTCTGATAGTACACATGGGATAATTCTGATTCCTTTGCATTTACTTAAGCATATTTTATGGGCTACTATTTGGTCTGGTTTGTAGAAAGTCAACTTTGGTATTTTTTTGTTAATTATTTGTCTAGTTGACCTGTCCATTTCTGACAGTGGGATATTGAGTTCAGGCTAAAACTGAATGTAAAATTTACTCTTACCACCCCTGTTTAATACAGTACTTAAAACTTTAGCCAGAGCAGCCAGCAACAGAAAAAAATAAAAAGGATATGTACAGGAGAGTAAGAAGTCAAACTATCATTATTTGCAGGTGACATGATCTTTTATATAGAAGGACCAAAAGACTCCTAGTAAACAAATTCAGCAAAGTAACAGGATACAAAATATACAAAAATAAATAGTAGTCTTGTGTACCAACAATGAAGACCTTCTGGCCTATGAGGTTTGTGCTACATCGGCTACAATTCTGATAGGCTTGCCTTTATAAATAACTTGTTTCTTTTCTCTAACTACTTTTTGTAGTCTCTCTTTTTGTTGAATGTGTGGAATTTTAATTATAATGTTTTGTAGAAAGGCTCTTTTCTGTTTGTGGCTATTTAGGGGTATATATGTCTCTTATGCTGGAATATTGGGTTCTTTTCTATGTTTGGAAAGTTTTCTTCTATGATTTCAGTTAGTAAATTTTTTTTACCTTTTGAGTCATCTTCTAATTTTTCTCTTATTTTTGTAATTCTGATCTTTTTCAGTCATCTAACTGATGTTGGATCCAGCTTGGTGTCTTGTCATATTTAGGGTATCATTGAGTTTATGATTTACTATATCTACATTGTCTTCAAGTTTTGATATTCTATCCTAATATTGGCTGAAGCTGCTAGCCATGCTTTCTAATGAATTTTTTATATCTTGTACTACTTAGTGATTTCTTTCCATAATTTATAATTCTTACTAAAGTTGTATTGTCTTTTTTTTTTTTTTTTTTTTTTGGTTTTTCTCCAGTACCGGGAATCGAACTCACGACCTTGCGCTTGCCAGGCAGGCGCTTTTGCCGCTGAGCTAAATCCCCAGCCCCTTAAAGTTGTATTGTCTTAATTAGTTTGTTTCTTCTTTTAGCTCTTTCAATCATAGTTTGTGAGTTTAAAGGTTGTTTTAATATGTATTACTTATGAGCATAATTATTTGGATTTCTACTTCAAGTTACTTGTTCATATTTTTATCCTACTTTTCATTAGGCTGGCTTTATTTTTCTTTGCTTGTCAGGCATTCCTCTGATTGTCTAGACTTTAGGTTCTTTTCTGATTTATATTGCATATTTTGTAAGCTCTGTTATTAGTTGAGGGGTAAGTGGAGAAATGGGTGTTGCCACGTTGCCCAAGCTCATCTTGAACTCTTGGGCAAAAAGTAAACCTACTGCCTCAGCTACTTGAGTAGCTGGGACTACAGGTGTGCTTTGGTGCTCAGTACATTGTGAATATCTTATTCCATTCTGAGATGTGGCTCAGTGGTATAGCACTTGCCTGGCATGCATGAAGCCCTAGGTTTAATATTTAGCAACACACACACAGACTAGTAGTGTCTGTCAATTTGTTCATTGATCATTTTATTTTTAAGTTATTACTTTGTAGTTTTAAGTTTTCTCCCACATTTATCTCTAAAACTAGCCACCTATATTATCTTCTATAGAGTTTTGACTTCTATATTTAATCTTTAGTCATCTGAATCTATTTCGTTTTTTGTTTTAAATCATGGTGACCATATTTATTTGAATGTCCATGAAAAATCTACAACAATCTCTAATGACATGGACAGAAGCCTGACAAGGTGAACATAGTATGTGATTCCATTTTACATGATTGCCATTTATAAGGGAAACTTATCTGTGTTACTAGAAATGAGAATAGTAGCAATCCCTCAGCAGAGGGGTAGTGCCTAGAAGACAAAGGCTTAGACAAAGGCTTCTAAGGATATTGCCAAAGCTCTGTTTAACTTGCCCATCTAATAGTTCCTGTTCTAGATCCGGTTGCTTCTGTCTCTTAGAAACAGTTGGTCACTGTGATGCGTAGCTGGTCACTACAATGCACATTGTATAAACCAATCCCCAATTGACAAACTATTCTCCCTGTGTACTTCCTGCTTCCTTATCCAATATAAGATGTAGATCATCTTATATTGATGATCAGGGCTTGATATTCTGGGAATGTTCCTGATCAAAGTCTGTCGATGTAAGTAAATCTGCCTCCAAATTCTGGATGTCATTTGTGTTTCCGCTTGCTGTCGCAGAACTACTAGTTTTATTTGTCAACTAATTTAGCTTAATTTGGTACTATTATTAACTATAACTGCATTGTAAGCTTCTGCAGGGATTTATCTTACACTTTCCATATTCATTCTTAGTTCATATTTTTAACTTGTTTTTGGAAGGGATCTAGATTATCATAGTTTTGAGATAGAAATTCTGAATTTTAACCTAGTACTGAGGGATTCTATTATTTGAAATTGTCACTCAGGTTAATCTTTAAAAAAAACAAACTGGGCAATATATAACCTGCTTGTTAACAGGGCTATAAAAATAAGGGTCAGATGGATAACTATAGAAAGAAACCTTTTCTAATGTATTAAGTTTATATCATTGTAAATGTAATCCTGTACTTGTTGGAGATAGAAAAAATATATAGATATATATAATTTGTTTTTCTCTCTAGACATGACTGACAATTTATCAAAGTAGGTAAAGCCATATAAGAATATAACCATATAAATCTTTCTTCAAAAATGCCAAGTATGATTAAGGTTGTGTATTACAGGCATTTGAGTTAAGCAGCTACATTGCTGATAAAGCTTTTATGTTCTATAAGTGACCTTTCTTTACATGTAGGTGTAAGACAAAATAGCCAGTACAAGTTTAATAAAATTTGCTTGACCTAAGTGAAATTTCAGAATAAGAAATTCCATGCAATTGTTAGATCTACACACTTATTTCTACACACTATGATAATATTAAATTTCATCGAATTGAATTTTGGTCATACAGTTTGAGAGAAATGGAGATCTTCATACGTATACAGCATGTGCAAATGAAATTAACATAATATTACAGGAAATTAGAGAAAAGAACCAATAGTAGTTAAATGCCAAACTGTAGGGAAAGGTTTGGAGTGCTGTTATAGCTTGTATCTAAATGGCCCCCAAATCCCCATGGGGTCATAGGTGGGGCTTTTCAGAGGTGGCTGCTTCTAGAGTGTGTGACACTGGGATGAAGTGCCCCAGCCTGGGTGTGAGTGCTCCCCAGCCTGCATGGAATATAAGAGACAGAAAGAGAGCTGTTACTTGCTGCTGATGCTTTTGTTGCTGCTGCTTGTCTTTTGCTGCCTCCTGACTGCTCTGTGATGCCCTCTTCCATGCCACCCTTCCTTGGAGCCAACTGGTGATGGACTGAAACTGCTACAAACTGAGCCAAAATAAATCTTTCCTCCTTCAACTTTAGGTGTTGGGTATTTTGTCTCAGCACTGAGACAAGTATCTAAGACGAGTGCAAATATAGACACTTCAGTTAACAAGTAAAGGATATTTTAATCTCACCTATTGATTCTAAAACAACTATTGACTTGTCATGTCTTATATCTGCATTACTTTCTTATGCTTTGAGTACAACTGCACTGAAGTCTGCTTTATGCACATGAGTGAATACTTTGTAATCTTTTCTATTGGTTTCTTCATTTCACGGTTTGGGAACTACCCACTGTAAAAGAATGCTGTTCTTTCTGTTATGAAGGAAATATTCTCTAGCTGTGTTGTTTGGTATGATTAGCCATAAATTACATTTTTCCCTTGAGCACTTGAAAGCAGCTAGTGTAACTGAGGAACTAAAATTGTAATTGTGTTTTATTTTAATTAATTTTGAATTTGAATAGCCATATGCATCTAGTGACTGCTGTATTATACTACATAGCTTTAAAATTTTAGCCAGCTGTGACATGGCTATTTTTAATCGTGTATATCTAGAAAGAGCTTGGAAAATATTAGAGGAATGTGTTTGGATAAATGTTAATTATTCTGAGTCTTGGCATTGGTAATATCATCTCTCCTTTCCTTTCTCTTTGGTAAAATCTAGGCTACTCCTTAGTGATACTAAAAATGGAGTATCCCTTGAATGTTGGAGAGTTAGATTTTGAATAAATAGATCCATTTAGTTGGCTTTGGGTTTTCCATGATCTGAGAACAATTAATGTGGTCATCACTGTAATAGGATGCCTTTAACTCTTTCAGGAAGATACCTAGAAAGGGAATAGCTGGGTCAAGTGGTTTTAGTTTTTTGCAGAATCTTCATACTGATTTTCGTAGTGGTCATGCTAGTGTACATTCCCATCAGCAGTGTAGGAACCCCTCTCTCACACACACATGTACAGCCTCACCAGCATTTATTATCATATATTTCTTGATTATGGTCATTTTTTTCTGAAGTAAGATGGAATGTCAGTGTTGTTTTAATTTGCATTTTTCCAATGGCCTGTGATATTGAACATTTCTTCACATATTTATCGGCCATTTATACTTCTTTTGTGCAGTTTCTACTCATTTTAGTTGCCCATTTTTTGATTGGGTCTTTTATTGGGAGTGTCTGATTTTTGGAGTTCTTTATATATGCTAGATATTAATCCTCTGTCAATGTTTTTAGCAGCACAATTCCTAACATCTAAATCTTAGAAGCAGCTTATATTCCCACCAATAGATAAATGGATAAAGAAAATGTGGTACTGTATTTACACACAATAGAGTACTACCATGCCAGAAAGGTAGACCAACCTGAGTCATTTGTGGGAAAAAGGATGCGTTTACTGACTATAATGTTAAGTGAAATAAATCAGACACATAAGCTTAAGTATCACATGGTTTGTCTCATATGAGAAACTCAAATTATAAATAAAGAGCAAACTAGAAGATAATAGGAAGTAAGGAGAAAAGGGGGAAAAGAGGAATCAAAAGATGGAAGGGGGATGGAGGAGGGATGGAGGAGAGGATAAGGGGATGGGAAAAGGAATTAAGATGTGTTATGTACATGTACTGACTCCACAAGAGTATAAACTTGTACTGAAACATGTACTAACAAAACTTACTTTAAAAAGAAATTAGCACGGCTAGTACTACTGCCTCAACTTAAGAATGTTGCTTATATAAACTATATGCTGAATGTTTTAACATCACCCTTTGTAAATACATTATTAATATGTAGCTTATTTGCTCATATTCTGTTCTATCCAATCCCTATCCTACTTGTTTCTTCCAGCTTCTCCCCCTTCTCTCGCTCTCTCTCTCTCCCTCCCTCTCTCTCCCCCCCTTACCCCTTTTTCTCCCTTTCTCTCTCCCTCTCTCTCTTCCTCTGTCATGGGTTCTCACTATGTGGCCAGTCTAGTCTCAAAGTCTGGGCTTGCCAGGCATGATTGAGCATCCCTGGAACCCAAGTTCTTTGGAGGCTGAGGAAGGATGTTCCAAGTTTGAACAACAGCAACAACAAAAAATGTGAAGGTCCTCGGTTCAATCTCCATTACTATCAAAGAAACAAAAAATATAAATCCTGGGCTCAGGTTATCCTCCTGCCTCGAGTACTCAAGTAGCTAGGACCACAGGTGTATGCTACCATGCCTGACTCTTTTCCTTTCATTTTTCAAATAAGGTTTTATTACACATGTAGGTATCTCCAGTCTACTGACTTTTGCTTTTTGTTTTTTGGTTTTACCAAAATGCAGTGTGTGTATTCTGCAATCTGAATTTTTACCTTAATATTGTTTGTAATGTTGTTGATACTAATATTTCATTTATAGCTATACTCTGGTGTATGAATAGATCACATAGTTTCATCCTAATTGAATAATCATCTTATGTATATTTGAGTCATTTTTTATGTTGCTGTTATGAACTGCCATGATAACCCTTTCTTTTCCTAGTTTTATGTATCCATAGGGGATTGGTTCTAGAATCCTCTACCCCCATAACAAAATTTGAGGATGCTCAAGTTACTTATATAAAATTCCACCATACACTATTTGAATATAATCTATGCACATTCTCCTATATAATTTAATTTATCTCAGGATTACTTGTAATACCTAACACAATTTAAGTGCCATGTAAGTACTCTATTGTGTTGCTTAGGGAATAACGACAAGAAAAAAGTCTGCACACATTCAGTATAGACACAGTGTCTTTATAATATTTTTGCTCTGCAGTTGGTGTGGAACCTGTGGATTACAGAAAGCCACTGTATATATTTTTAAGTCATGAATGGTGTTGAACTATGTGTTATGATTTTTATCAGTGGAGATAATGCAATCATTTTTCTTTTTAATCTGTTAATGTTCTGAATCACCTTTTTAGGTGTTCTAATATTAAAATACCTTTCCATACTAAGATAAACTCAACTTAGTCATAATATTGTATTTTTTGAATTGAGATTGGTTTGCTAATATTTTGAAATTTTGTATCTCATAGTAACAGGTTTATAATTTTCTTTTGTTCTTATCTGGGTTATTTTAGTCTTGTAGAATGAATTGCTGAATAATTTTCTATTTCCTAGCAGATTTATATGACATGGAATAATTTGTTCTTTGAGCGTTTGTTAGAACTCACATGTAAAATGGTCTCTAGACCTGGTACAGATACTTATACTCTGATCTAATTTGTGTAGAACAATTTCTTTTTAATTGTTTTTTGAAATAATTTTGGTATGTTATTTTTCTGGGAAGTTTTCAATTCATTCAGAGTTTTAAATTCAGTAGCATAAAGTTGTCCAGAGGAATTCTTTAGTCATTTTTTCTTTTATTATTGAGATTTGAAAAACTCCTAGTTCTGTTTATTTATGCCTTTTCTACCTGATCTTCCCCCACCCTCTTTTGTTCTAGTCATTTGTCACTCCAGCAAATTGCACTTGTCTTTTCAGAGAACCAGTTCTGGTTTGGTGAGTCATTCTATTAAATGTTCTTTTCCTATTTTATTAATTTCTGCTTCTTATTTTCTCCTTTTGCATGATGGATTGATTAACTGATTAACTGATTGTGTCTTTTTGAGACAGGTTTTCACTATGCAGTTCAGGCTGGCCTTGAACTCACTTTGTAGCTCAGGTTGGTCTCGAACTTGCAATAATTCTCCTGCGTCAGCCTCCCAAGTGCTGCGATTACAAGTGTGTGCCACCACACCTGGTTGCATGATTTATGTTGTTCTTTTCTAACTTTCTTACTAATTAAGATTTTTTTTTTAGCTCACTGAGTTTTTCTAATGCTGATAAGTAACATTTATCATATAATTCTGATATGTTATTTATTTTTATTTATTTTGAGAGAGGGTCTCTATGTAATTTGACCTGGCTTTGAACTTACTATATATTCGAAGCCAGCCTTCAACTCACCATGATCCGCTTGTCTCAGCCTCCCAAATGCTGGGATAACAGGTATGTGCCACCACACCTGGCTAATTATGATGTTTTAAATTTCCATTGTGGAGTTTTTGAGCTCTTGGTTATATAGAACAATTTTTAAAATACGTGTCTAAATATAAGGGGATTTTAAGTTTAGTTACTTCTCATTTGATTGCAGTGTGATAAGAGAATTTTGTGTATATGATACTGAGCTGAAATTTGAATTTATATGGCCAGTTTTTACAGACATTTTGTCTTTGAAAGTTCTGTAATTTTGAATGTTTATTTCTATGAAATCCGAGTGGGTAGGATTCTATGGGTGATCATACTTTATTCTTCTTTGATCAGTTTGCTGGTCTTACAGACAGTGCTTATAAGAACATCTGTATGTGTATTTGTGTACCTTTGGAACTATATCCAGAGCAGAAATTCATATTAATTACTTTTTAAAAATAGATGCCTTTGAATTAGGATCAAAATTGATCCAATTTATAATCTACAGTGTGTGATTTGTATTTATTCCACATATATCCTTCCTTATTCTTAGTAATTAGCAAACTTAAAATTGTTTTCCAGTTAATCGTGTGGTAAAAATTACTGCTTCCTTCTTTTGATTTACAGTTCTTTAGGTATGAGTGAGATTTAGTCACCATTTTTTTTTTTTGGAGGCTACCTATTCATTTTTATAGCCCATTTTTTACTATGCTCTTTGTTTTTCTTATTTCTATATAAAACTCCTCCTTTGCTGTATGCGGCATGTTGAAAAGGGTTAAAGTTTGCATACTTCCTAGATACTTCTTATCTTACTGTTTGACTTGCTTAAAAATGTTACTTATTTTAGAAATAGAAGATGGACCTTCTCAACAAGGTCATTTTATGAGAAGTCACTTTGCCTCTGGGAGGAGTATGGGAAATAGAAGTATGTATTTTAGTCTTTCCTTAACCTGAATTGTCGATGGAGTAGAGGCTTTTGCTCAAAGCTAAGTCTGTCTCCCCACACCCATTCCTCATTCCCCATGGTAAGGATTGAACCTGGGGCCCTCACACTGAGCTACATCTCCAGCCCTTTTGAAATTCATTCATTCATTGTGGTCCTGGGGATTTCACCTAGGGCCTTTGCACCAGCCATTTTTTTAAAAAAACTTGTTATGTTGAGAGAGGGTTTTACTGAATTACTAAGTTGCTCAGGCTGGGCAACAGGGTCTCACTAAGTTGCCTGGTTGGGCTCAAACTTGTAGTCTTCTGCCTCAACCTCCTAGAGTGGTGAGATTAAGGTGAGTGCCACCGTGCTCAGCTTTAAGTCTTTTATAACTCAATGTATGCTAGAGTTTGTTGGGATAATGAGTTCATCGGTTTTTCAAGTGTCAATGTCTTTTTGTGTTTTACTTCTTTGGAATACTGTAACATGGCTAAATTGACTGGACAGACACAGTGCTTGGACTGGACAGACAGATTGGTTGGACAGGTCCTTCACCTGCTTCTTAATTTATGATCATTGATTTCTTTCTTTCTTTGTTTTTTTTTTTTTTTTGGTACCACGAATTGAACTCAGGGCCTTGTGCTTCTCAGGCAGGTGCTGAGCTGCTGAGCTACATCCCAGGCTCTGATTTCTAACAATTGAAATTGGAACATGTCTGTAAAAGCTTTAGAGATTAGGACAAGAAGGACCTCTTTTTTGATTTTCATATTTTTATATTTCTCAAGAAAAGACAGCATAGGAAGCATTTCTTTTAGCTCATCAAAATCATTATCACAAATTTGGGTTTTTAAATATTACTTTGAAAATTACTAGGTGCTTCAGTCAGGCAATGGATTGGCATGCAATACTTATACCGAGCTACCAGGATGTGAGTTGATAGACAATGTCACAGTAAAATGACTTCTTGCAATCCATTTTTTAGACTTAATTAAAATGCTGACAATATTCTATATGGTTTTGTTATAGTGTGATAACATTATTAGAACTTTAAGTTTATTGAAAATCTATCTAACCATTTCTTTTGGGGGATACCATTACTAGAGTTACTTGGTAGTTTTAAATACACTTAACATCCTTAAATTTGATTTTGTAAAACTTTACTGATATTTTCACTTATTTTTATCATCATAAGAATTCTTTTTTCTCCACCACATCTGTAGCATTTGTTATTGGTTATTTCTTGATGATAGCTGTTCTTTCTGGAGTGAGGTAGAATCTCAGTATTGTTTTAATTTGCATTTCTCAGATGGCCAGTCATGTTGAACAGTTTTTCATATATTTGCTGTTTGTACATCTTCATCTGAGAAATGTGTATTCATTTCAGATACCCATTTTTGGATTGAATGTTCAAATTTGGAGGGTCTTACTTTTTTTAGCTCTTACACATTCTAGATATTAGTCCTCTGTCTAAGGAAGAGCTGGTAAAAAAATTTTCACATTCTGTGGTTGTCTATTCAGTCTGTTGGTAGTTTCTTTTATTGTGCAAAGCTTTTTAATATGATGAGATTCCAGTTATTGATTGTTTGATATTTCCAGTGCAATCAGGTTTTTGTTCATAAAGTCTTTGCCTACACTTATATCTTCAAGAGTTTTACCTAGTCTATCTTCCAGCAGATTTAGTTTCTGTTTTCCTATTTATTTATTTATTTATTTAGTAATGAGACTCAAACTCAGGACCTCACCCTTGTCAGGTAGGTGCTGTGCCACTGAACTATATCGCCAGCCCAATATCTGGATCTTCAATCCATTTTGATTTTAATTTAGTGCATGGTTAAAGATATGAGTCTAGGTTTAATCTTCAGTATGTGGAAAACCAGTTTTCCCAGCACAATTTATTCAAAGGTTTTCTGCCAGTGAAGGTCTTTGGTCCCTTTGTCAAAGATATAGTGCTGAGTGTGTCTGGAGTTGTTTTTGCACCTTCTATTTTGTTCCAGTGATCCTTTGGTCTGTTTTTAGTCAGTACCATGCTGTTTTTTGTTGGCCTGCCTTCCTGCCTGTCTGTTTTTAAATCATGGTAGCTTTGTAGCATAATTTTAAGTCAGGAATTGTGATGCCCCCTGCTTTGCCTTTGGTGCCCAGAATTGCTTTTGCTATTTTAGGTCTCTTCTGGTTCCAAATGAATTTTAGGAATGTTTTCTGTAGTTCTCTGATGTATGCTATTGGTATTTTGATCAGTACTGAATTAAATTTGTATAACAGTTTTGGAAGTATGGCCATTTTCACATCTTGGTTCTGCCTACCCAAGAACAAGGCACATCTTTCCATTTTCTGATATCCTGTTTGAACTCCTTTTTCAGAATACTGTAGTTTTCAATGCAAAAGTCTTTTACTTCCTTTGTTAGATTGATTCCTAAGTATTCCATTTTTCTTGATCCTACTGTGAAAAGTGTTTTCCCCCTTAATTTTTCCCTCAGTTACTTTGCTATTTGTGTACAGGATTGTTACTTACTTTTTAGTGTTGACCTTGTATCCAGCTACGCTACTGAATTTGGTTATTAAATCTAAGAGTCTTTTGGTGGCATTTTTGGGATCTTCTATGCAGAGTATCATATCATCCACAACTAATGCTAATTTAATTTCTTCCTTTCTTATCCTTATTCCTTTTATTTCTTCCTCTTGTCTAATTTCTTTGGCTAATGTTTCCAGAACTACATTGAAGAGGAGTGATGATAGTGGATATCCTTGTCTTGTTTCTGATTTTAGAGTGAAAGCTTTCATTTTTTTGTCCATTTAGTAAGATATTGGCTGTCAGTCTGTCATAGATAACTTATCAGATTGAGATAAAGACCATCTATTCCAATTTTCTGTAGGTTTTTTTTTATCATGAATAGGTGTTGGAGTTTGTCAAATACCTTTTCTGCATATATTATGATGATCATGTGGTCCTTGTCCTTGGTTTTGTTAATGTGGTGTATTACATCTATTGATTTGCATAAGAATATGGTCTTTAATAATATCAATAAATATGCACCAACTTAATAAAAGAATAAAACCCTCTTCATGGTAGAATATCCTCTTATGCCAAACATCCATGATGCCCTCTATCCCTCTTTGCCCATGATTTTTAAGGCATCTACTATAATTGACTATAAACTCACTTTTGTTTTTTGAAATCAGAGACCACAGTGAAGATGATGAGCATAAAAAAACCTCCTCCAACCAGACAAGACATAGAGAGAATCTCAAAGAGACCTTTGAGGAAAAGAGGAAAAAAATCAACGTAAGTTCAGTTCCTCACTTTCTTGACAAAATCAAACATTAACTGTTTTTCTAATAGATTCAGTAACATTTTTTACTAGTTTTTTTCAATTAAATTCAATTTCTTTCCATTAAAATAAACTTTTGGGTTTGTGGCTCCCAAACTAGTCATTTTCCTCCTGCCTAATAAGAGAGACATTTTATACTGACAGACATTGTGTCCTATAAGGCTATTTTCCAGCTTTACACACTCAGTGAATACTTACTGAGCACTTATTAGTTGCCAAACACTATTCTTAATAATAAAATAAACAGCAATAGGCAAGAAATATAGGGTCCTTATTCACAGTGAGCTGATGTTCTGGTAGATTCAGACAATAAGCAACATCAGATTATTCTGGATAACACAGACCAATAAAAGAGTAACCAGGGTAAGGTAGTAAGCAGGTTATCAACTTTAGATAGGCTTGCAAAGGAAGATGTGAAATTTCAGCTGATCTTGCACTCCTGTTTTGTAATTCCAGCCCTCAGCTGAGACAGGAGGATTACCACAACTGGACTATTCTGGAAGCTCTGTTTCAATCCCCACTGCAATCTCCAAAAAGGAGAGGAAGAGCAGAAGGAGGAGGGCTAGAAGGAGAGGGAGAAGATAGGGAGAGGAAGAAGGAAAAGGAAGAGGAGGAAGAGGAAAGGAAGAGAGAAGGAGGAGGGGAAGAGGAACAGGAAGAAGGGGAAGAAGGAGGAGAAAAAGTAGAAATTTGGACTTAGTAACAAGAAAGAGGCTCCCATGGCAGAATTACAGAGGAAAAGAACTCCAAGCAAACACAAAGCTTTGAAGCAGGAATAAGTCAGAGAACACAAAGGCAGATAGTGATAGGAAGTGCATGTAGTAAGGTACACATGAGGAACACAGAAAGCCATGGGTAGGATTTAAAATACAATGGCAACTGCTAGTGGGTTTTAAGCAGGGAACCTGGGCCTTCAAGCCGTGACTGCTAAGAAAAGAATAGCTTCCAGAGAATTAAAACTGGAAGTGAGGTGTTCTACAATCTATAGATTTCTACAGCTCTGTAATCCAAGGATTTCTAGACTCCAACATGAGATTTGCCTTCATTTTGGTCCTCACAGACAATCCCATGAGCTGAAACAATTTGTTTCTACTGTTGTAAAAATACATGATTTTCCAAAGGATTTTAAACAGCAATATCAAAAACCTTCAAGAAGACAGTATTATCTTTGAAGACATACTTTTCTCTGTAAAGACATAACAGGTTAAATGACCCTTAGTTATTGCGGGCTGATGAAGCCCGCAGCCTTCCAAGTGAGTGGACAGTGAAGGCTTAAATAAATGAGACAACTGAAATGATTTCAGGGCTCCACTCTCTTACAGCTTCGATATTCTCTGAGTTTGGACCAAAACTTTTCTGGGCAGCCGGTATTTATTTTGTCTTCAAACAAAGGAGGAGGATACTCAACAAAACACAGGAATCTCGCAGGACCTTGGGAGAATTTTCCCAAGTAGTAAATTATGTCAATCAGGAGAACTACTTTATCTTAAGGTTGGTATTTATTGTAGGAGTGTGGAGCCTACAGCTGCAGTCTCCTTGTAGTTAATTGGGGTTGGAGCTCAAAGTCCTCAGCTGTGGCCTTATATTGTCCTTTGAGGAGTCACAGCTTCACAGGCCAATACAGGCCTCAGGGTGACCAGAGACTCACAGAGGTTTACTTACTATGAGTCCACTGCCCATCTTCAGACAAGGTACCTAAGCTTCAGACAACTCACAAGTAAACACGGAAAGCCAATTGATTAATATTAAATACTGCTCAGAGCCACTTTGTACTGGTCTCCAACAAAGCTACATGCTTTACTCATTTTTCTAGAGCCACAAGCTATTTCATTCCTTAAGAATGTAAAGAATGTAACACTTTCAAGACTTTAAGCAATTTTCAGCTAGTGCTAGTAACTGCAAAACTTGGTAATGTTCCTTCACTTGTAATTGAAAAGTTTGCTTGTTCCTTAAAACAGTTTTAATATGTCCTTAAAACTCAAATCTATGCCACTCAGGGACTTGGCAAAATTAAATTTCCCTGGTTTTCCCATTCTCCTTCCTTCGTCCTCTTTCATCTCCCTCCTCATTCTGTCTCTCTTAAACATCTGCCTTGACCAGCCATCATGCAAAGCTATTATGTTTTACATTATTTGTTTTTTTGTTTGTTTGTTTGTTTTTTTCTGGTACCGGAAATCAAACTCACAACCTTGCACTTCCAAGCAGGCGCTGTGCCACTGAGCTAAATCCCCAGCCCGTACATTATTTGCTTTATCTAGTATATTCTTCTCGTTCAGAGTAAAAGCTGATAAATTGAATATATTATATAACTTTTTGCTCAAGAATTTCCACAAAATAATGACAAGACTTAAGTCCCTTCTGTGGGCCAGTAGTTCTTCATCAACCAAGGTTTTCCCCTGAAACCTTTATTGTGCAGTAACTTTTGACATTCAGAAACTGGGGATTGTGAACTTGGGGATAGCCTCGTCAGAGGAGCTGGTTTGGTGCTGAGATTGAAGTTTATTAATTAAATCAATCCCTCATCCTAAAGGTGATTTGGGGTTGGCCATGTGGAAGAAGCAAAATGATCGGTCTTTCTAAATTCAATTCTGTTAGCCTGCTCCGCTCTCCCTACTCCCTACTGGGGCCTTCCAGGAAGGTGAATGAGCTACAAAGCAAGACCTGTCTCCCTTAGGTGTTGCCCTCTGCTTTGGCCCTCCCCTATCTTTGGATAATATAGTTTCTGACCAGCCTAATGTAAGAGCCAAGAAGAGCTACACAGCGGGCAATACTCACTCATAGACAATGTCTTGAAGTTTATCCTGGGTCCTCTGATCCCTCCAGCAACGGTGCTGGCCATGACCCGAACAGTGTAAGAGGTCTTCCGTGTGAGAGACTCCAGGTCATACTGTAGGATGTTAGAGTTGACAATCTTGGCTAAAGGAAAAACACAGAAGTCAAACACCCCACCTAAGCCAGACTGAAAACTGCACATTAGTAGTTTTGATATGAAAGCACTGAAATCTGTACTTCCGATTGGCCACCTCTATCTTCAACCCCCATCCAGGACCTGTTTAAAATTAGCCCATCGAGATGAACCGAAGGCCTAAATACAAAAGTTAGCAATATAAACACCCTTAGAAGTCAATATAAGGAAAATCTTCATGACCTTAAATTTCATAAATTGGTACCAAAAGCAAAGGTAAGTCACAAAATTGGAAAAAATATTTGCAAATCATACATTTGATGAGAAATTTATATCCATCATGTATAAAGAACTCATGATTGAACAAAAAAGATAACCCAATTTTACAATGGGCAAGGAAGTTTAAAAGATATTCCTCCAAAGAAGGCATACACAAATATCCAAAAATCACATGAACAGATGTTCAGCATGATTAGGGGTTAGGGAAGTGTAAATCAATGAGATACCACTTTGTGTCCACTAGGACACAATTATACTTTCTTTTGGTAGAAAATAAGTGCTGGAAAAGATGCAGACAAAAGGACCCCTCTTACAGGGAGGTGGGAATGGAAAATGGGGTAATCACTGTGGAAGACAGTTTGGTGGTTTCTCAATAAGTTCCAGTAGAATTACTAAGTGATCCAGCATTTCCGCTTCTAAGTACATACCCACCAAAAACTGAAATCAGGGACTCAAACAGATATTTGTACCTCAGTGTTCATAGAAGCAATATTCATAGCAACCATATGGTTGAAAAACAATTCAAAGGTGGTTTGTCAAATGATGAATAAATGGAAAAACATACGATGGAATATTCAGCCATAAAAAGGAAAGAAGTACTAATTCTTATTATAACATAGATGAACTTCAAAAGCCACATATTATATGGTTTTATTTATTTATGTATCTATTTATATTTATTTAGCAGTTGTAGGGAATAAATTCAGGACCTCAGAATGGTAGGCAAACACTACCACTGAGCTATGCCCCCATCCTCATTATATTTACATAAAATAGCCTGAGTAGGCAATCCACAGAGACACAAAGCAGTTTGGTAGCTAGGACAGGCTGTGGCAGGAGAGGGATGCACAGTAACTGACTAAAGGTTACAGAGCTCCTATTTAGAGTGGGCACAGAAAAATTCTAGGAAGCAGAAAAGGTTACACCCCATTGTGAATGTTTTTAATGCCATTAAATTATACATTCTCAAATATCTTGAACAGTAAATTTTGTGTTGTCTTTTACTACAAGAAAGGCAAAATTTAGTCTAAACAGGAAACCAAGTATTGCTCAGAATTTAGAGTAAACTCCAGAATAAAGAATGTCCTGGAAATGAACAGGAGAAATCATGGTAAAAAAAACCAGGCATGGTGGCCCACGCCTATAACTGCAGCACTCAGGAGGCTGACACAGGAGGATCGCCTTGAGCTCAAGGTCAGCCTGGGCTACTTAGTGAGTTTGAGGCCAGTCTGAACTGCATAGTGAGACCTTGTCTCAAAAAAGAAGGAGAAGGTGGGGGAGCGGAAGGGGAAGAGGGAGGGGAGGGAATGGGAGGGGGAGGGAAGTGGGAAGGGAAGGAGGAGAAGGAGCAGGAGAAGGAGAAGTAAGAAATAATCATGGTAAAGAGCCCTGCACTAAGGTAAATGTCATCAAAAAGGGTCTTCCTACATCCCAACCCCACTCTTTAAGCCAGGCATTCTTCTCTCAAGAATAATGGTCAATATTTCTTTAGGGGTTGACTCATTCAGGTTCTGACCAGGACAAATTATGCCAATTGCTACAGGATTCTTAGGTACTATCACTTCACTCTCATGTAATACCTGCAAATCCAAAAGATAGCGCTCTTGAACCTATATTCAGAGAGGCTGAAAGAAGTTAGTAATTTATCCAGCTTTGCGGGTCACTTCTATGGGAACCACACCAATGACAAATCCATTCATATCATCTATCTGGGGGATGGATTTTCTTTTATCTTAGTTATGAGCACACTTACAGAATTCTTGTCCACCTTCAGCTTGGTAAAATATGGTGTAGTTACTAATAAAACCGTTTCTCTTTTCCTTAGGAATCTCTTCCCACGTGACGGTGACTGTCTTTACACCAATGTTTTCTACCTTGGTTAGAGGACCTTTTGATGGGACTGAGAAGACAAGAAGACAAAGGATTAACACTGCATCACAGCCTGGCAGATTTTTCTTAACAGAGGCTCTGGTAGTTCTCAGACCAAAAGTACAATCTGGAGGTAAGACATGGTGTTGACTAGGAAAATTATGAGTTAGCTTGTTAGAAGAGATGTTTTTTCTGCAGCCATGCATCTTAAGAAATAAATACTTTCTTACAGATCTCTCACTCTAGTCTGGCACTCAGATCTTTCATACATAAATTAAAGTATAGCTATTATCCGGTAATTGGAGGCTATGCTTCCATGGACTCCCTTTTCATAGTAGGAGATATCTTTCAGTGTTAAATATGGAAGATGTTAACTTCCAAACAGATAAAACTAAAATCTGTGAAATTTGTCAGAAAAACTCTTGCTTATTGTTACATAATTTTAAAATAATTTGTAACATATTCAATTTATGATGAACTCTGTAGACTCCCCAAGTTGGTCCTAATAAAATGCTATTTCCAATTGCAGCTTTATTTACACAAAGTTTCTTTGGGGCTTTGGGCAAGTTATTTCATCTTGCCCAGCCTCACTTTCCATCTATGAAATGAGGACTGGACTTGGTAGTTAATGTCTGCCCTAGCTTTGTAATTCAATGACTCCATAAACCGACCCTAACTGTGTCAAACATACATAACTTGCTATAGGATGCTTGCTTCATTACAAGATGAAGGTGCACAAAAAATGGGCCCTAAATCAACTATGACTGAGCTACAGACTCTCAGCTTTATCTAGATGTTGGAAAGAGCCCCGTGTTTCTTCCCCCACATGGGGCCTTGTTAATACATACTGCCTTCTTTGGCATAAGCCTGGATGGAACATGGCTCTCCTACTTGGCCTTGTAACACTGGATACACAGAGATGTTATAGCACGAGAGGGGTGTTAATTTATCTGAAAAAAAAAAAAAGAATGAAAAAATAAGCATAAACGCAGAGCACGTCAGAGTGGAAGAAATGCTGGGCCTCAAGTTATAGTTGAAGTCTCATCAAAGATATTCCATTTGTCTAGTTTTCTCAATAAGAATGTTGGGTTGGATGGTCTCAAATATTTATTCTTATTCTAAGATTTTTCTAATTAATTCTTAGAAATAAAGCCTTGCCAGTTCAGTGGAATTACAGAGCCATCCATGAAGAGACCAGTAGGAGATCCAATCTCTCCTCCATCACTGAATTTATCATATGACTTTGCGGCACTGCTGAACAAAACTTAATCCTTCTAGCAATAGCAGATCACCCTGGAGAACTCAGATACCGCAAAATACAGCTCTGCTACCTGCCTGCATCCCTGCAGAAATATATTTCTTAATATAGATGCCTGTATCAGTCACCCGGGAAAGGGGCTCAGCTCTTAAAGAGGCAACCACAGTGGAAGGGAGTACCCTCAGTAGGACAGCTCGGATCTGTTCTCTGGTGTTACTACTAGGATAACCAAGATGTTCCAGAAAGGCTTGCTCATGGTGAGCGGTAAGATCGTGTTTTCTATCTGGCCGGAGACCCACAGCTTTCTGTGCCAGCTTTTCCTGGGAAATTCCAAGAAGCATGACACTTAACTGAGCTTACACAACCTTTTCAAGTGCTATTTACCACATTTACTCTTTGAAACCAAAGTTAAGAGTTTTAAAAACTAATTAAAGTGAAACCAAATCTTTCACAAAGAGAACATGCTAGTTACCTTGCGGGATTGTCCACTTCTTGGCTTGAGACACAGGTTCCCAGGAAAAGGCAGAGAGCTCTGAGTCTAAGTCTGGGAACCATTCAACCATCCATGTGTCCACCTCCAGACAGGAACATGGCCACTCCACCACCAGCTGGTCCTCATCCAGACGGGCCTTCACAGCCTTAATGCATGGAAATGCTGAAAGGAGAGAATAGGACTGCTTCACAGCTACCCGACTCACCGTAAGAGAACCAACCACACTGTCACTCATTCAGTGCCTGAGTTGTGAAAGAAAGTCAGAGTTCAGTATCTCCCCTGACCGCACTGTGTCCACTCCTCTTACTGTATCCCTTTTCCTTGCTCAATCTTATTCCATAGTTTTGATAATTAAGTGCCTTTAAAAATTTTTTTCCAGTGCTAGGGATCAACCTAAGGCCTTGCACATGCTAAGGCTGTAGTTTCACCCCTAGTTCTAGATGCCTCCTTAATCTGCTTTTGCCTCCCCAAAATTGACCTGTTTCCAGAAACTGATTTTACTCAAGAGATATTGATTAAAAAGATATAACTTCCATATCTATAGATGTTTCTGCAAATCAAAAGAAACATAAACCCGAGGAAGAATGAATCTCACAGAAGGTGTGTATACAGTATGTAGGAGTCTCGTCCCTGTATGGCACAGTGCACGGGTCTGTTTCCCAAACTGGGCTTGTGTAAGACACTCCAGATGCTAGTGCTAGAAGCAAGGCCAGGTGGTTTTTCAAGCTGTAAAGGCAGCTCTGAGACAGGGCAACTGAGGCATGGAGAACACATGAAGCTGCGCTGGGCAGGGCAGGGGCCAATCAGCCTGGATATCAATCCCACTTCATCCCCAGTGCATCTCCTTCTCTTTCCTGCTTTCCCAGTCTTGCAGCCTGAAAGATTCTCAGCTAGTTCAGGCCAAATGTCTCTGCTGGAACCTTGGGAACCTTACCTGGACTTCTAGACCCTCTTGGGTTCCTTACTTCCCTTGGTTGGGATAACTCTGAAATGTAACTTATACTCCATAATCTGCCTGTAGGATCCAGCAAGAGTTTTACTCCAGGTGGTGAAGATCCCCAAGATTTTTACCCCAGACTATATTTGTTGTAGGATGAATTTTAACCCGCCCCCCCGCAAAAAAAAGTCAGTCCTGCAGAATGTGACCTTATTTGGAAATAGGGCCATTGAAGATTAAAGTAAGATTTTGGGCCCTTAACGCAACATGATCTGTGTCTCATAAGAAAAAGAGAATTTGAACACAGAAACAGACACAGGTATCTGGCAACATGGAGATTGAGGCAGAAATTGGAGTTACTGGAGCTGCCAGAAGCCAGGGAATACCCGCAGATGCCAGAAGCAGGAAGAGGAAAGGAAGACAACAGACACAGCCCAATGATCAACGTGATTTTAGACTTGTAACCACCAGAACTATGGCTCAACACATTTCTGTTACTTCAAACCTCCGGTCTGGTACTTTGTCTGAGCCTTCCCTTGTCTGAGCCTCCTTCCCCTGTCGGGCCTGCCTTTCCACTTCCTCTTCTGATCTCCCTGAAGGCACTTTCTTAATGCCTTGCCAACAAATGCTGACCTGAAGTGAGCCCTGCTTCCACACTCCTTCTCCTCCCCAGTCTGGGAACTCTGAGGAGCCAGAGGAGCTAGGTCTAAACTGCTGCATGTGCTATAGACTGAGGAGATTGTGAGGGGTGTGGAATAGGTTCCACAAAACCGTGAGTCAACCATGGAAGAGGAAGAGCCTGGTTTCACTAAGGATGCTCAAAGAGAAATTTCCAAATCAGCATTCCACTGAATATAAGCTAACTGTCACCTCCTTCCAGCATTTAGCAGGGACTTTTTGAGGAATTACTCCAGTTATACCACATTCGCAGCAAACACATCCTTCCTGGGAAAGGGAAGTGTCTTGACTGCTAACATACTAATTTCTTGTGACTTGCATGAAGACAGTCATTCTGGGTCTATTAAGTAACCATTCTTGGATACTGCTTTCCTGTTGCCAGTTGTCCTGGTCCAACTGAACCTACCCTGACACAGCCCTTATTTCTGCCTCAGCCCACTCGCCACACAAGCAGCTATGCTTCTTCACGCTCTGCCTCAGACCACTGGGAAGCTGTCTGCTGGCTACGGTCTCACAAAATTTAGGATGTTCAGGGAGAAGGAACTTGAATGTTCATCTATGCCAGTCCCTTATGTTAAAGTTGAAAACATGGGGGCCCACAGAAGTAAAGAACAAGCTCAGCATCACTTGGCATGTGTGACTAAAATTCTAAATCACTGTATTCACCCAAGTCCAAAATTCTGGGTAAAGTATTGTACCAGTTTGGTTCATGTACACCACGGCTGGAATCTCACCTCAAAGACTGGGCAAATTACTGAGCTTTCCTGGATCTCTTTGTTGTCTAAAAAAAAAAGGATCTAATAACATCTACATCATGAGTCATTTCAAGGCTAAAGCAAAATAACCTATGTTACCTTTGGACAATGTATGAAACACACTAATGGATGATATATGATGATTATAGTTAGTGATAGCTGCTTACTTTAACTACTCTCTAGTTGCTTCTACTTTATTTAACAAAATTCAGAAAACATTACTTCCTTATTTGTTAGAACAGGGGTCGGTAAGCTTCCTCTGTAGTGAGGAAGTTAGGGCTCTGTAATGAGTTATAGGGTAAATATTTTAGACTTTGCAGGCTCCATAGTCTCTATCACAACTACTCAACTCTGCCATCATTGCACAAAAGAAGGCATAGGTAATATATAAACAAATAGATGTGACTCTGTGTCAATAAAACTTTATTCACAAAAACAGAAGCTATAGTTGGCCAACATCTGGTCTGGGATCATTATAACTGCTACTGCTGACACATAGTCAGAAAAAAATTAGCTGAATTTAGCATAATTTTATTTTATTTTATTTTATTTATTTATTTTTTTTTTTTTGTTTTTCTCCGGTACCGGGAACCGAACTCACGACCTTGCGCTTGCCAGGCAGGCGCTTTTGCCGCTGAGCTAAA